CTGCTGTGGAGCCTGACACGGAGCCCACCTTGCTGCGCCACCCCCAGGTGAGGGCCCTGGCCGGCCGGGGTCTCCGGAAGGATGGGGCATGGGCCGGTGGGGCCCCTTGGGGACTCCCCGGCACCCTGTGGCAGTCAAGGCGATGGGGGACTCCCCGGCACCCTGTGGCAGTCAAGGCGATGGCAGAGGGGCTGGCTTGTGACCCCCGCTGTCCCAGCTCTGCCCACTCACTGGCTCCTCTCCCCGCAGGGCACTGTGGTCTTCACCACCCAGGTGCCCGTCCTGGGCCGCTACGCCTTCCTGCTACATGGCTACCAGCCGGCCCATCCCACCTTCCCCATCGAGGTCCTCATCAACGGGGGCCGTGTCTGGCAGGGTGAGTGGCAGGGAGGGGCCGTCACCGACACGTGGACAGGTCACATGCCCCGCAGCGACAGCCAGCCCTGTTCTGGGATCGCTGTCTGGGGCGCCATGGGCACTGGCCTCCCCTTCTCACCTCGTCCCCGGGGAAGTCCCGCCCTGTGTCTGCCCCACGTTCAAGTTCCCGGCTCCGGTCTCGCTCTGAAGTGAGTGTCTGATGCTCAGGGAAGCCAGGCACCTGCACCCAGGCCTGCCAGGTCTGGTGCCCCAGCATGTGTTGCAGTGTGTGCTCCTTGGAGCGGGCCCTGCCCGGCCTGTATCCTCTGCCCTGGTGTCTCCAACAGTGCCCCAGGCCCAGGGCAGGACTGGGGAGCTGGGGTGCTCAGCGCTGGGCCCTGACCTGGCCTCTTCGCTACTCCAGGCCACGCCAATGCCAGCTTCTGCCCACATGGCTATGGCTGCCGCACGCTGGTGCTGTGTGAGGGCCAGGCCGTGCTGGACGTGACTGACAGTGAGCTCACGGTGACCGTGCGTGTGCCTGAGGGCCGGTGGTTCTGGCTGGTGAGTCCCAGCTGCTGTCCCCACTGTCGGGAGTCTCAGTCAGGGTGTGTCCCCTGCCTGCTGCCGCGCCCTGTGCCAGGTGCCACGAGGAGTAGCCTTTGCCTTGGAGGCGTCATCAGCCCCAGGCCCTGCTGGTCAGAGTGGCCTTCAGCAGGAGACTGTCCCCTCCACTTCCCCAGGCTGTGGGATGTGCCTGCGGGACCCTGGCCGGTCTTGGGTCTCCCCTGGTTCCCACGCCTGCCTCAGGCTCTGGCCATGGTGCCCCACACCAGGCCCTCTGCTGGGCCCAGGGAAGCTGACCCGGTGTCGCCCCGTAGGACTACGTGCTTGTTGTCCCCGAGGATGCCTACAGCTCCAGCTACCTCCGGGAGGAGCCTCTGGACAAGTCCTACGACTTCATCAGCCACTGTGCTGCCCACGGTTACCACATCAGGTGGGCTGGGCTTGGCAGAATTGGGGTGCAGGGGTGGGCTGGGCAGGGGCTCCCCTTACCAGGTGGCCCTCATTGCAGCCCTCACAGCTCATCCCCGTTCTGCCGAGATGCTGCCACCTCGCTGTCCCTCTTCTATAATAATGGGGCCTTGCCGTGTGGCTGCCACGAGGTGGGTGCCACAGGCCCCACCTGTGAGCCCTTCGGGGGCCAGTGTCCCTGCCGGGCCCATGTCATCGGCCGTGACTGCTCCCGCTGTGCCACTGGCTACTGGGGCTTTCCCAACTGCAGGCGTGAGTACCATGTGCTGGGGGGCACCTGTCCCAAGGGGGGCTGCCCAGTGGAGGGGTGTACCAGAAGCATGGGTGTGGCGGTCAGGGAAGCGTCCTGCTGCTGAATAGGCCAGCCCTGTGGACCTCGGGCAGCTGGTAGGCCAGGTGCTGGGTACCCATCTTGCGGCTTTGTCTAGAAGGTTCCAGGGACCCACAGATGATCTCCAGCCCCTGCCAGTTGAACAGTGGCTCTGGGGAGCTTCTCCACATCGGCTCAGCCTTGGGAGCTGGGGTGGGGCACCTAGCCAGGGCCCCCATCACCTGCTACCTCTCAAGGCCTGCAGTGGGGGCCTGAGGGGTGGGGAGGTCAGCCAGCAATGTCCACCCACAGCCTGCGACTGTGGCGCCCGCCTGTGTGATGAGCTCACGGGCCAGTGTATCTGCCCGCCGCGCACTGTGCTCCCAGACTGCCTGGTCTGCCAGCCACAGACCTTCGGCTGCCACCCCCTGGTAGGCTGTGAGGAATGTAACTGCTCAGGGGCTGGCGTCCAAGAGCTCACCAACCCTACCTGTGACGTGGACAGTGGCCAGTGCAAGTGAGTGCCCAGGATGGGGTCCCCATGGGCTTGGGTCAGGGATGTGTGCACTCACTCGGAGAGCCCGGAACCCAGCCTGCCCCTCGGTTCTCAGTGGACACTGTGGCCCCACGCATTCTTGCTGCGCAAGTGGCCCAAGGTGGAAGGGGGCTCAGCCAGCCTGTGTCTCCCTGCAGGTGCAGGCCCAACGTGGCCGGACGCCGCTGTGACACCTGTGCTCCAGGCTTCTATGGTTATCCCAGCTGCCGCCCCTGTGACTGCCATGAGGCTGGCACTGTGCCTGGCATGTGTGACCCCCTCACAGGCCAGTGCTACTGCAAGGTGAGAGGGGGCCTGTGCCTGGTCCCCTGCCCTGTGTGGTCTCAGCTGAGATGCCTTCTGCGGCCCCTTTGAGTGGCTGGGGCTTCCTTGAAGGCCTTGGGGACCAAGTAGGTGGCAGTGAGCTGTGGGGCTGGCCTCCGAGGACACAGCCAACTGCCGCTCATTGCCCTCACCCCTAGGAGAACGTGCAGGGCCCGAGGTGTGACCAGTGTCGCCTTGGGACCTTCTTGCTTGATGCTGCCAACCCCAAGGGCTGCACCCGCTGCTTCTGCTTTGGGGCTACAGAGCGCTGTAGGAGCTCTGCCCACATCCGCCGTGAGGTAGTCTGCCCAGCGCTGTGACGGAGGGAGGGAGGGAGGGAGGAAGGGAGGAGCCTCCCCAGGGGCCACACGTTACCTCCCACGAGGAGACTAGGTTGCAGGATGGGGCCACGCCGCATGGACACCCACCTGCGTGTGACCTGCCTGTGCGCCCACAGTTGGTGGACATGGAGGGCTGGACTCTGCTGAGCACTGACCGCCAGGTGGTGCCCCATGAGAGACTGGCAGAAATGGAGCTGCTGCGTGCGGACCTGCAGCCCATGGCCAACTCCCTCCTGGATCCCCTCCCCGAGCTGTACTGGCAAGCCCCACCCTCCTACCTGGGAGACCGGGTGAGCAGACCCTTGGGGCTGGAGGGCCGGGAGGGGACAGTGAGGCTACATCCGGGGACAGGCAGCTCTGTGAGGCACCGGGCCCAGCCAGGGTGGGGATGCTGTGAGGAATGCGGCCTTCCCGCGTCCAGCCTGTCCCCTCCGCCATCTGCCCCCTCCGCCATCTGCCCTAGGTGTCGTCCTACGGTGGGGTGCTCCGCTATGAGCTGCACTCGGAGAGCCAGCGTGGAGACGTCTTCATCCCCACCGAGAGCAGGCCGGACGTGGTGCTGCAGGTGGCCCAGCGGGGGTACATTGCAGGGTGGGCAGGCGTGGCACCGCTGGGACAGGCCAGCCCCTTGCCAGCCCTCACCCACCACGTGTCTCCCAGGGCAACCAGATGAGCATCACGTTCCTGGAGCCAGCGTACCCTGCACCCGGCCACGTCCATCTTGGGCAGCTGCTGCTGGTAGAGGTGAGGAGTGGGCAGGGCAGGGCGGTGCAGGGGCCTGGCAGACCTGCATGGTGGAGAATGGGAGGGGGCAGGAGGAGCCGCCT